TGATCGTCCCCGGAATGGACATGTCATCGAGACAAGATGTAGTGATCCGGCGGGCAAACTGATCACTGAACCATTGCAGGTAATCATATCGAAGCCGCTCTCCAGCAACGATAGGCACCAATGGTCAATTCCCGAGGCCCGAACATGTTTCAACGTATGACTGTACTCCACGGGATCCGTTTCAGCGGCGGCAAAATGCAATCTGCCAAGATCGTGCGCCTCGACTTTCGCACGAAATCCTACCCTGGCGGCATCAACCTTTCGAACAGTCATCAAAGGCGCCATCAATCGGCGCCAGGAATTGAATTGCCGCAGCGGTGTCTCAGTAAGGGTTGTGAATTTGTCAACGCGCACAAATCCATTGAGGTTTGGCTTAAAAGCCGTGCTGCCAGAATTAGAGCCCGACATTGCGTTCATTCGTACCTACTCGCGAAACTTCTTCCAATGGGGGAGTGAATGAATGTGTCGATAGGTGTCGCTTCACACCACTCCTCCCCACCTGAATTGAATCTCCGTAGTGATCGATCACGGGAACCCAATTACGCTATTTGTCTAATGTTGTTGTTCTTTAGCCAAAGCTCGAAGGTTGTCGGACCCGAACGCATAAGTCCCATTTTCTGCAACTCAGTAGGAGTGCATCCGAACTGCGACTTAAAGGCAGCACGAAATCTGGCCAGGTTGGTAAATCCGAATTTCTCGGCAACTTCGGCAACTTTTGCTTTTTCCGATGACCGCAAGATCGTCAGGAAACAAGCGCAAAGTCGCCTGTTGCTGATATAGCGATGTACACCACCTTGATCCTCAAACAATTTATAAAGTTGTCTGCGCGACACACACAAAAAGGATGCCAAGTTTTCTATCGTCAACGAGGAAGAATTTAAGTTTTTGTCAATGTATATTTTCGCTTTTTCATACCGCTCAATCATCGCGCTCGGTAGTATTGTGTCGACTAGTTTGGCGTCATAGGAGAGACTGGAGCAGATCATAGCCATCGTCGCATCAGCAACTTCTGATGCATTTGATTGCATTACCATAGGAAGAACGTGTCCAAGAGACCTGAGGTATGAACCCAGAAGCAGGTTATTCGAAGCCAATCGCTCGCCTCTTGCAACGCGCTCCAGCAAAAATTCCAGCCCCGGCAGTCGATCCTTCGGTAAAAATATTGACAACGACCGATTGTTGCTTACCCGACCTTTGTACGCCACGCCTACTCGGCGTATTTCAACTCTATTGCCACAAAAATGTGCTTGGTTGCCGTCGATTTCTACCTCGGCACACCCCTCTAATCGCGTAATTATGACCCACTCGCCATTAATTGCAGCGGGATTCTTCGGACCGAGACTCGAAAATGTATGAGCCTCAGTTTCCGAGATCATTATGCGAAGATCATCCAGTTCATATCCCGCACAAAACGCATGGAAGCCATCACGCGCCGATATGTCAGCAGGTAGACTTGACTTTCCCAAGGCTCTAAATTCGCTATTGAAAGCCGCCAGTTGCTCCGTTTGCGCGACGTCTTTTGTTGAGAAACGATAGTTTTGTTTAACAACACAGCCGACTCCCTGGATCACGTCGCTACGGGGCACAGTATCAAACAAAATGTTCTTCATTTTTCTTCCGAGAATGGCGCAAATAAAGTAATTTATTCTTTTTATATATTAGTTAGTACTCACACCAAGTCCCCATATAATATAATTATTGGTTCTATTCGAGCCATTTGGGTAACGTTTCTTCACCAATCAATAACGGACCCTCAGTTTTGCACTTTGGTACTAGTGAAGTGCACAAATGAAGCATAGTGGTATTGTTTGGAATGCAGAGGGAACAATTGCGAACCACGCTTGAGGCTTGAACGAGGCCCATTTCAAGCATGCATCTGTCCCATCGGGCTTGGGTGCAAGACCGGCAGTTCATTAGATGGGTCGAGGACGGCGAACGCGCTATCGGCACCGCGTCCCCAGCCGCAACGCGCCATTGAACCTTGTGGTCTTCCAATGACCATGTGGCATACCCGCCCGGCAGCGTTCGCCACGCCAGGCGCGGCCGCGAAGACGGGCCATCTTGGCTGAGAGCCCAGTCTCATCGATAACCACAATCTCGTGTGGGTTGAGTTCCAGCTGGCAGTTGAACCAGCCCTCGCGTTTCTTCAGGACATCGGGGGGGTCCTGTTTCGTGCCAAGAGCTTTAGGCTTCGTCGCCCGCTCCGCACAATGGTAGTCCAGCTCGAGGTACCCGTTTTCAAGATACGCTATTTGCACTGCAATGCGTCAGCCCAACATGAGGTTCGTTCCAACCAAAACTCTTCATCAGCAAGACATTCAAGCATTGCATCGCGGTCGGCAACGTCTCGTAAACCACCGGACTGCGCTGGTTTCACAAATGCGTGGATTGCTTTTGGACCGCGGCTTGGCCTTTGGTCTCTCGATCACGCGAGCGCGGAGCGAGATACGCCGCTCTCACTCTTCGGGAAAATGATCCACTGGATCATCTTCTGATCCTCATCATTGCTCAAAAATCGCCAGGATCTGGCTTTCCGGAAATCTTGAATTCTTCATGTCGTTCTCCAAGCGCATCAAAGGCCGGAGAAGTCCAATTTTCAACCCAATGGTTTTCGGGGAGGATTACCGCGCTAAAACAGCCCATTCTCGACCCGTTATTTCTGTTGGATAACACAGACGGTCCCGGTTATGCTGCCGACGAGCGATATCAACCCTGGGCATTCGATTCTCCATCTTATAAACAAAGACCGCTGAATCACAACCTACTGATATCAATCAACTAATTCTAAATCTGGCTCTCATGGAGAAAATGACTCTTATGTTGGGAAATAACTAGAAGACCATCTGATCTTTGTTTTAGTTTCTTCATCTAGTCGATAACCCAATCTAACCACTCGGATAATTTTTAAACCGTGCGGTTTTAGCTTCTTGCGTAGCTGGCAAATGTAAACGCGTACGATTTCAATTTCTGGGCCACCATCGATACGATCCGCATAAAGGCATGTGTGGATCTGTTCCGTGCTAGCAAAACCACGCTTCAGCAAGAACTGTAGTATAAGGGTCTGAGCATGCGTAAGTTTCCATTCGAGCGGAAAGATTATTTGCTGCTCAAAAACCAGTTGTTCCAATTGAGCAATTCGAGCTTCTTTTCGCTCAAGTCTTTCGCGCAAGCGTTCAGTTTCACAATCAATTTCTATGCGCAAGACTAGATCCACCATATTTGGTTTTGAAAGAAAAATCAGGCCGTTCATTGCGTTCTTGTCGGTATTTGTTTCCCTGGCGGTCGATAATTTTGGACTTGATAAACAATAAACTTTTGTTCTGATTGCGTGTTGTTTCTAGCTGCTGATTAAATCCGCAAGTTATCTCGGCATCTCTATTTTATAGTCAGCACAAGATGTACAACGGCGATATCACTCTGACATGTGACGAGCAGCACTACTTGAATACATCAAAGTCGAATTTCAGCTTGATGCGGACATGGCTTTTGTAAAGTAAGCGCGAAGCTGAGGCCGTTCAGCTCTTGAATTTCCTCGGCATGAGAGCGGCTGGGTCGCCGTTGGGCCAACCGTTGGCGACGCGCTCGAGGGCCGGTGTGAGCCAAGCGTGCGGATCAACATGGTTCATTTATGCTGTGGTCTCAAGTGTGGCGATCGTTGCCCATGTTCAGCCTGTAAGCACGGGGTGCTTGTCTGCTTGGCTCATGAAGTCTGCGCGCCGGGCCCCTTATCAATTTACCGGACTCTGGCGCGCCCAGGCAATGCAAATGAGCCCACACGATTTCTGGATGTGAAATTATCTAAGACGCCTTCTCTTACCTTCTGCACTCAACAGAACGCGCCATTTTTGTAGACGGAAAAAGTGGCCGGGTTCTGTTGCCAAGCCCCGGCCGGGCTCCGTTTAGGCTGCTGCTACTGCAGCAGCCGGTACATTGTCGTTAGAAACGACTCGTTTTGCGTTTGCATTTACAAACATTGAACCGATGACGGTGGTATCTTGCCGAAGCGCGTCTTAGCGTCTTGTCTGCCTGTCGATCCTTTGTCAGCCCCATCAAAGATACACTACCTAAAATGTATCTTTGGTGGAGCTGCCGGGTACCGCCCCCGGGTCCAGATCAGCAATCAGCCTTGCCGAATTACGCTCATGGAAGAAGCAAGCCCTACCTGCTCCTTCCGTGAGCGTCAAAAGCGGGTAGTTTCAGATCATACCCAGGACCAGGGAGCGCAAACCTAGATTGGGAACAGTTTACGCGCCTCCACCACTTCCAGTTAAGGAAGGAGTTTAACCTAGCCACAACAAATTTTTTTACTTGTGCTATTTGACACAAGGGGCGAGGTTTTTTTGCGTTCATTCTAGATCTATAGATCTTGTATTCAGTCTCGGTGTGCGAAAGGGCGAGCGCAGAAGAGGGACCTGCACTCGCCCAATCATTTAGCAGAGACCTTTGTTCGCGAGAGCCCTATGAGCGGGAACACGGACGCCGGAACAGCGATACTCATGCTTCAAATCGACAAGCAATGAATTGTCGATAGGTCAAATGTAGCCCATCCATGTAGTGAGCCTGTGTGTCGACCGACACTTGTCTGTAAGCGTCGGGTGAAGAATATTTGGCTTACTTTTTCGGCCTGCGCATATTGGCAAGTCGGTTCATTTTGATTTTGACGATCTCGGGCTATCGTCGGGTTAGAACGGCTTTCCATACCAATCAGCGAGATTTTCGTGTTCTTCATGGCTCGGATCGGCCATGGCCTCAAGGAACATTTCGAAGCCGGGTGCGCCACCGATATCCTCGGTAGGTGTGCGCCATTTTCCGTCGATGAAGACAGGCAACGAGCACACGTTGGCATATCGAACAGTTCAAGGAACTTGACGTGGTGCTCCCAGTTGTCACCCATGTCGTCGGTGTACAGGAATTCAGAGATACAACTGTCACGCAATTTGGTCAGGCGCGCTGTGTTGGCGTTGTCGACATTTAAAAACCGAAGTCGGGTAGTGTCATCTATGGATGCCCCGTGGATTGCAAGTGATATTCATGTTTGATGTGAGGTAGGGTTGCAGTCATCTATCCGGCCTCGGGTTCTGGAGGCGGCTTGCTGGGCGCATGTGCGGCGCAAATTCTGCGATCTGACGGGGCGCGGCACTGCGCCGATTACCGAGCAAACCTTGGAGCGGATCGGCGCGCTTTACGACATCGAAAAGGCCATTCGAGGATCGCCGCCAGAAAGACGGCTGGAGATCCGCCCGTCGGAGAGCAAACCGGTGTTTGAGGATTTGCACCGGTGGCTGAAGGCGCGCCTTGGCGAGGTATCGGGGAAATCCGGAACGGGGGAAGCAATCCGCTATGCGCTCAATCGCTGCCTGGCTCTCGGGCTGTTCCTTGAAGACGGCACGATAGAAATCGACAACAACGCTGCGGAACGGTCCATCCGTCCGATCGCCCTTGGCCGCAAGAACTGGCTGTTTGCCGGATCGGACAAGGGCGGAGAGCGCGCCGCCGGTATCCTGTCGCTGATTGAGACCGCCAAACTCAATGGCCTCGATCCGGAAGCCTATCTGCGCGATGTTCTCACCCGCATCGCCGTTCATCCGGTCAACCGGATCGATGAACTGCTGCCATGGACCTTTGCTGTCAAAGGCAACCTGAACAAAGGAAATCTGAATTGACTATCGCCGATGCCGCCCGCCTACGGATCACATTGCTTGATCTTGACCCAGCGCCCTGGCGCGAAGTGGATGTGCCGCTGTCCATGACGCTCAAGGGATTGCACGATACCATCCAAGGGGCCTTCCTGTGGTTCGACTGCCATCTTTGGGAATTCGATATCAACGACCGGCGCTATGGTTTGCCCCATGACGACGACTTCGGCTTCGAGAAGGTTTACAACGCCACCACAACACGGCTGACCAAACTGCGCGACAGTGGCATCACAGAATTCCTCTATACTTACGACATGGGCGACAATTGGGAGCACCATGTCGAAGTCCTGAAACTGTTCGAAATGCCAAAAGGCGCTCGATTGCCCGTCTTCATCGATGGAAAAGGACGAACGCCTCCCGAAGATGTCGGCGGCGCACCAGGCTTCGAAATGTTCCTAAAGGCCATGGCTGATCCAAGCCATGAAGAACACGATAATCTTTTGCAGTGGTACGGAAAGCCATTCGACCAAGACAATATCGAGACGGCAGTAGTCAAGGCTCTCATGAACAGATTGGCAAACATGAGACGGTCGAAAAAGTAGACCATACGCCGCTCACCGGTCGCATACTTTGCATGCGAAACTTATAGCGGAAATTGCAATCTTCCATTTTGCATCTGTGGCCCGAATACATCCGAATCAAGCCCCGCAATCTCCGCTTCATGCCGCAATATTTCAGTCATATTATACAAGAACACCGAAATTTCCGGACCTCTGTCCTCGATCAAATTCTCTTCGATCTTGTCGGCGATCTGACCTTCAATTAACCTGTCTCTGGTTTGCTCTTCCTGTAACCGATGATATTCGTTGAGGTGGTATTGTTCCCGATCCTCATACTCTAGAGCGTTCGCAGAGAATTCTGTCCTCCTGGCAGAGGCCTTCTGCTCGGATGCAAGCCTCTGCAAGTCTACAAATAACTCCTTTTCAAGCGACTTTGCGGACTTCAAGGCCTCGGTCGTTGTCGATATCTCCGAATCGATCGCCGCAAGCTGGTTGGTGTGATTTTTAATCTGCGACTGCAGCACTCCAATGTCGGCTGACAGTTGCCCCAGTTCGAGTTGGATAGCGGCAACTTCAGCTTCTGACCCATGTACACCGGACAAATCTGAAAGTTGCGACTGGAGCTCCGCCTCTTTTGCCAGCATTCGATCCAGTTCGTTGCCGCTGCTGGTTTGGACTGCGATTAAATCTGCGCGTTGGGCAGACAAAGCAGCAGACCTGCCTTGGAGCGTATTAACGTCTTCAATGTTTTGCATGATCTTGTCGAGTTGCATGCTTCGTTGGCTCCCTGCCGCGATTGCTATGTTTGATTCGTTGTCTTTTGCAAGGCGTCTCGAAATTAGTTCAGCGATGATCACTAGAGCTTCACTGTCGCCACTATTTGCTGGAAACCGAAGTCCGAGCACAGGTGAGCCCGTCGTCGATATCTCGTCTCCAGGAACGACATCGTAAAGGACCAAGGGAGCGGCCTGTTGTACACGTTCGGCCCCGTCTACTGAACTGAGCTCCCCACTCGACGATCCTTGTGCAATGTTTTGGGGATTTATAGTTGTCGAATTGTTGTCTTTTATCTCTATCATCATGCTCTCCACAACTTCGAATGCTCTCTTACGACGCCCGGTGACAGACCAAATCTGCTAGTAGAGCATTGAGCACGCTGCTCAATCTGCAACATTCCATCCTCATGCTTTTAGCCGTTGCCTGCATTCTCGCGCGCATTGTCTGGGCAAATCATGTTGTTGGGCAACACCCAGAAGCTTCAATAGCAACAATAACAGCCTGCCTCGATCGCGACTTCCGGGAACTGCAGCTTTGGCCAGAAACGCAGAGTTGACACCCAAGCCTGCAAGGTAAGCAAGTATGGTAGAGAAAAACAGATCACGTGTCTTTTCAAACTGCGCTGAGGAACCGCCCTTCCTATTTGGCACCTGCGTAATCAATGTGCCCGGCTTCGGCCAGCCAGGAATCATCGCAGTATTCAAAATTGCGAGATCTTGGAGACCTGTATCGAAACCGTTTGTTTCTACGTCTCGTCTTATCAATTCTGGAACATCGCTAAGGGAACACGCCGTTGGATTAGTATCCACGCGACCCGAACCTTGCGGTTCCATCGTGGATCTATTTTTGCCTCCAATCCAGCTCACAATCAACTCCCGGACGACTCCATTGTCGGCGAGACGAGGGGCTGAATTCTGTAGCAGATTCCCTTGCGTTCGTTGTTCATGCTGAGTGTACTGGATAATTTCAGCTGGACCAGACGCCTCTTTGTTGTTCGATATCTTCAAATCAGCCCTATGTTCCAATCCTGTGCACAGGCTTGATGATCCGCCAAAAGGGTAAGGGTGGCATACTACTCGACAGATTGTGTTAGCCGACATTTTCTTGGGACTACATCCCGCTAATTCACGATTATGCGTCTGCTCTAAACTCGCGTTTTTCTCCCGAATTATCGACGTCTTAGACTTGGGTGACGCAACGTTGGTGTCCGCCGAGGATCGAGAGATAACTTGCGCTAAGATGTCTTGCAGAAGAACTTCAAAGGAATGGGCCCTTTCCGGTCTGGCCGGCTGCGCCAACCCGGTCACTGGAGACTTCAGCATTAACGCCGGCAACGCGCTGCCGCCGATATCCAGATTTTCCATCACACTAACTTCAGAGCCACTACACACAGTAGCTCCGAAGTTGACAGTTCTAACCACACCAGTCGAAACAGCGCGAGTTAACCCCTTGGATACGTCACATACAATATCCGTATTTTCATCTCCATCAGACAACAAGAACTGCAGAACTCTTTTGTGCAACGTAGACGTCACATCAGTTCGTGCAGTCTTTATGTCTGAAGGATTAGCAGCCCGTATTTCAATCATCGCTCATTTCCAAAACCATGCGAAATGGCGCGGCTGCTTCTATAAGCGACGTCTCATCCGCAGCGTTAACAGTCGCATCAAACTGTTCCAGAGCCTCGCGTGCTTCATCATATATTTTCATTTGGATCAACACTCCCAGTCGACGTAAGTGGGCACTGGGTGATTGCGGCTGTAGTTTTGTAGCGTATTCGAAAGCAGCCAACGCCAATTCGGTTTCACCACGCGCTTGCAAGCATGCGCCAAAACCTAGCCAGTTGTTAACTTCACCACCATCAAGTGCACACAGCACAAAAAACAGAGTTTGAGCACGATTTGCGTATCCCAGCCGAAGGAAATGGAATGCCCTTGAATATAGCGCTTCATACAGGTCGTTCTCGATACCCAGCGCATTCTTGATGGATCCTGCCTGGCGAACACGCTCGCGAAGCAACTTTTCGTCCGTAGTGGCAATTTCGCGCTCTCTCGAGAGTGTGTTTTCACTGTCGACATCGTTTCGATCTTGACCAACATCTTCTGCGCTATCTGCCAATGGCCACACACTTATCACCTACTACTGACTGTAAGTTTTTCCGAAAGCCTCAAACATGCTGCAAGCAGCTCGTCATTCCCGTCGTTTTCAGCGATCCTCATTGCCTTCGAGATGTCTTCTTTCGCTTCGCTTCGACAATCCAATGCCAAGTTTGCAGCACCACAAAAATAGTAACCGAGTGCCGAGTCCGGTTCGAGCAGAACCATTGCGGAGCCAGCGAGCAAAGCCGCTTCAAATTCACCAACCTTGACACAAAAATTTGCCATGCCTTGCTGACAACGGAAGCAGTTAGGTTTGGTCAATACGAGCGTACTGTAGATCGTGAAGGATCCCTGAAAGTCACCTGACATGAATTTCGCATTGGCGATGCCTAGTGCAACATCCCGATCTCCGTCTGTAAGACCGAGCAGTTCACTCAAGGCTCCATCAATGATTTCTTGCGGCACTAAATCGCGGCCGTTCGCTGTTAGCTCTCGTTCGATTTCCATGGTCATGCTCCGTCAGCTATGAACTCTTTTCCGGCTATGGACTCAGAAATATTAATTCGTTTTCAGAACGATCACTCACATTCGGATACTGAACTTCTGTCTCCAAATTGGTCAAAACACCACGAAGGATATCCGCGCTGGACGCGACATCAGAAACAAGGTCAGTCAATACATTTATGTCGTTTTGTTGGTACCGGTAGAAACCGCGGACATTAACAAATTTTGCTGTATCTTCCGCGCCGCCGACCAGAACCGAGATAGTGTTGTGTACTGTGCTAAGCGCGAGATTCGTCTTGAGAAGCTTCTCTATCCGACTTCTTTTCGAAACGGAACTAACGTTAAGTGCACCTCCTGGTCCTTCAACAAGCAACGTACGCCCGTCGACACCATCTCTTAAAACGACATCTACACCATCGACCTCCAGGACCAACTCTTGTTCGCTGAAACCGACTTCATCACGAATACCCAGACGCTGGAGCAGCGCGTCAACCACCGTAGAAAACGCTTTGCCACTCAAAATTAAATCCTTCCATTTCCATTTTGTCTCACGTCGAACGGAAGCTTTTCTAAGCGCCCGTGATGGCTCGTGCGCGCTCCACCTCCGCGGTGCGTATCTCCTTGATGAACGAAATGATGGCTTGGTAGAACTCGGTCAGCGCTTGCTGAACTTCGCGTGACACGTCACCCTCGCTCTTGGTTTCCTCGGCTTGCGCAGCCTCTGCCGACCCATCTGCATCCGCGAGTTTCGCACTCTCCGTATCATCAGACGCAGCGGCTTGGGCCACGCCCCCGCCCATACTGCCGAAAGATGCGGCCAATGTGGACATCGCATAGTATTTTTGCGATTCAGAATCGATTTCTCTCGCTCGGAGGTCGATCTTCCTACCGTTAAGGTCAACATCACCACCCGCTCCTCCAGACCCGTTTGCCGAAGCTCTCGACGCAGGAGTCTCCGGTCCATCTTTTACTTTTAAGGGTTGAGCTACGGGAAGATCCACATCTGCTTCATTCGCGACAGTCCTGACCGCAGTCGACGACCCGGGAGCTCCTCCACCTGCAGCCCCTGCCGTAGCAACAGTCGCGACTTGTGTCTGCGGACTGGCGGCTACGTCGTCTACGTTGCCACCAAGTTTTTTGTTAAGACCTCTCATGTCGCTCGTATTTTTCCCGGCCCCCACCAAGGAAAATCCAGCACCGGCTATTGAAACGGCACCAAACGCTACGGACACCCACATCGCAGTCATCGCCGCGCTCTTGGTTTTGCTAGCTGATTCCCGTTGCTCAGCAGCCTGATTCAACATTTCCGCCTTGGTTTGGAAACGTGCAGCGAGCCTCGCTTCCAGAGCCTCTTGTCGATTTAGTCCGGCTAACTCAACCATCAGGCGGGCAAGAATCCTGGACGCATCTCTTACGGTTCCGCCACCAATAAACACCGACCCGTCCTGACTAACAGTACCCTCGCCCCCTTGCCGAAATTGCCCATCAAAGCTATTGTGCCGCTTCGAGGGGCTATTTGTCTCTCTCATCAACTCTTTCGCAGCAGCCTCGAACCGTGCAAGCGCAGCGCCAACCTCAACCGGGGTCAGACTGGTCGCCGCAGGCAGGAAGGTTTCGCTTGACGCCACTATTTTCGCAAGCGGCGTAAGTGCGTTTGAACCG